AGTTGTCTCTAACCAGTGTGCAGGAGACTGAGCCCTGGGCTTGTCTCCTGCTTCTTCTGAAATGAGGAAAATCCGTATCCCAGCACAGCGCCTTTACTCAGCCCCAGCGCTCCTCTTCTGACAGTTCTATGATCTGATGTTGCGTTCTGAACAAAACCTGCTTTGAAAAATTTCGTACATGGCTCACACAGGAAAAAATCCTGCCTGTGGAAATCCAAGGGTCTTAAGTCTTGCATGTACAATTTTAATTGCATTCCTAATCATTCAAGCTTGTGTCTTATTGAGATCTTAGAATGTTTGTGCTTTGTGTTGCTGTTATTATTGGATCCTTTTGTCTTTTAATGATACACAAGAGATTACCTTACATTAGCAAATTTCCAAACAAGACCTCAAATAGATATGTGAACATGTCTGTTCACCATTTAAAAATTCTTATTGTTTTACATAATCTTAATGCAACAGGTCCATCCTCTCTTTTTCTCTGCAGAAAGTGGAACGCCTGTTTTCATAACAAAGCACCTTCTGAGTATTTACTATGTTAGCCTGTCTAGGGTAGCTCATACAGACCATTGATTGTAATCCTCTGATGAATAATCTCTCAGTGTGAATATGTATACAAGGCAGATGGTACCCAATATTTTTGCATTTTAACTCCAAAATGCAAACTCTCCGCATCATAGGCTGAGGTGTGAGTCTCCACTTAGCCATCCTCACAGGTGAAACATGAACAGAAATTTAAGTGAGACATGACAGGAAGGATAAGTACTTGTCACTAACACTTGGTGACAAAACCAGATCACTTCACTGTTTTACAGTAATGCAATTCAAAGTAGTATGATGATAGACTGGGAACAGTGCAAATTCTTCCCCGATCCTATTCCTAAATCAGTTTGTAATGCCCTGATCAGATGTACAAGAGGTGCTAGGAAAAATACATCAGAAAGTGTACGGAGCACATGAAATCTAAGTGAGACATGACAGCAAGGATAAGTACTTGTCACTAACACTTGCCATCATCATATTATAAGGATCTTACATTACACTTTTAATCTCTGTATCCCAACTTGTTGAACCAAACCAATCATTAGCACTTGGGTCCATATTTAGGAATTTGGCAATTCTTTTTTCGCTGTGGTGACAAAACCAACTCGCTTCACTGTTTTACAGTAATGCAATTCAAAGTAGTATGATGATAGACTGTCAACAATTGTCCAGACCCTCCCCAACAAAGGGCTGCAATAGCTGACCTGAAGTAGCCTGAAGTGCCATCTAATTATTTTTAAAAGTGGGTAGGTTGTAGCCGCTCTCATCTTTAGTGACAGGACAGGTATCAGTCACTGATGTTCAGATTGGCTGTTCTGGCTTAAGCTGAGTTGCTGAATGCATCCAAGGGTTACATGTTTCTCCATTTTTGTTCTTTTGGGTTGGTTTTTTTTGGATAGTAGGTGGGATACTGTCTGTATGGGAGTGTTTTGCAGCCCCTGTATAACTGCCAGGGCTGTACTTTGGTTAGGGTAGTATAAATCCTGTTTCTAGCCATCTGGGATTTCCCAGAGTGTGAAAACATGACGGGATTTTGTATGCTTGAGCATAACCTGCTTGAGATACGGGGCCTTGTTGTGACAGGCTTTATCAGGATGGTAGCAGATATTAATTGGCAAGATCTGGACAACCAGCAGTGCCAGAGGGCAGCGGGCCAGCGCTGTTGTGGTGAAGGCTGACTGTGCTAAGGATAAACTGTGTAATTAACTGGAAGTGTGTGCTGGGCTTCTTGACGCACTGCAGTTTGCTTTCAGACATATTTCTGAAAGAAACACAGCACACTTGTTGGCGTACTTGTTAGCGGTCGTCAGCCAGTTCTTCTTAATGTGGATAAATTAGTGGTGAGAACTAGTTATAGCTAGAAAAGGATTTTTGCCTTGGTGACCAGTTCCTGGAAACTTTTATGTTTATTTCTGTCTCTTTTTTGTTTGTTTCAATTCTTTTTGCAGAGCGAGTGTGATTATCCATGATCCAATAAATGAGCCACGAGCAACCTCCTTTCTTCCACTCTTTGGTAGGAAGTCAGCAGCCGAGGCATTATGAACCAGAACTGAGGAGGTGTTTAAGTCCACTCAGTTTGTTCAAATGCTTCGTTTGCCTCTCTTCACTCAGTCAAGAGCCTTTGTATCTTCTTGTGTGAAGGAGCCCCTAGGCTGGGACAGCTATGGGCCTGACTGGTTGAGAAGCATTCGTTTAAGGTGTTTAGGGTAGAGAGGAATGACAGGGGAAACGATTCGGATTTTATGTACATCCTTAGGTTTGGAGGTGCAGAGTGAAACCAGGTGGGATATCTGAGCAGATGGGAGCAACCGGAGCTCAAAGCTACTCAGTGCAACACGCTGTGGCACAGGGAACCATGTGAAGCGACGTCTCGCTCCAGGGAGCTGTAGGAGGCCCCTCTTGGGTGGGACAGCCTGTCCTCACGTCACTGTAATGCACTGTACTGCCTCTGCTGTGGTTTCCATTTATAGCACTACACTGGGCTATACGAACGTGTCTCGTGTTCTTCAAAGCACATCTGTAAGTTTTGCACCACCCCTAGGTCTGAAATATTTCAGTGACTTTGTTACCTTGCATTTATTCAGTACAGCCATAGAGGACAGCTTTGGTTGCTGCTCAGGACAGAGGCCCCGTTCCTCTCAAGGCTTGAATACCACTAAGCAACTTTATGCTCACTAAGTAATAATACTCAGCTTTACCCATCACCAGCTTTCAGTAATCAAATATGAAAAAGAATACACGAACCTAAACAGAGGCACATTAAAATCTGTAGCTGTCTGACAGAATGAAGAAACAGCTCTGCTGCTTTCCGTTCCCATGATAAAAGGTTTACAAGAAGAGAAAGTAAAAAATCAAACTGAAAATGGACTAAGAGCCACAGCCTGAGACAAGTTCCTAACTGAGGTATGTTCCCTTTAAGCCAAAGGGGACTCAGATCCTAACGAAATGTCTTAAGCTGTTATTTATTACCTTATTACAGTATTGTTATGTAAGCCATAATGTGTTTCAGTAGGCAAGCATGAAGAACACGCCTCAAACTGCAAACTTCAGAAAATACACAGCTCAACTTAATTTTACTGCGTGTCCCATTGTTCTTGTGCTGTTGGAAGCAGCAAACGATCATTCCATCTTCACGTCCGCTGAACCCCTGCTTCAATAAGGGTGTCTCTGGTCTCCTCACCAGCTACCTCTTCTGAGCCAGCACTCTCCTTCATTTCATCCCTGCTGTGTTCAAGCTTCTCCTTATGTTTGATCATCCCTGTGGCCCCTTTTCTTGCTTACCTATATCCTCTGGGAGTTGCAATGACCCAAACTGTGTAACCTATTCAACAAGTCTGAGCACAGTGGCTTTCAAGTGGTGTGACCATGTATCCTCTTTTGTTTCCTATTCCCTTTTTAGTGTTTTTTAGCATTCTGCTGGGATTTATCAGTATGACCCTGCTGACAAGTCAACTGATGATTTCAAGACCTGCCCAGGTCTCTTTCCTGAGAAAGAGATAATTACAGATTCAGAGTCTGTCACTGTAGATACATACTTAAAGGTAATTTTGTGACCATACACATTATTTTGCACTTATCAGTGCAAACATTTTGTCATCTACTTACTTAATATTATGTGTACCTAAGATGTGAGTCTCAGCTGTCAACTTTAGAGGTGATTATTTTGAATAATTTTGTCATGGCGTTATTCACTGCTCTGTCAGGTAGTTTGCAACTAGATTGAGCGTCACAAGTCCCAAAGCACATCTCCGAATGGGATCCTGCTGGTTAACTTGAGACAAAATGACATTGATTTCCTATCTCTAGCCATGAGGGGAACGTCCCTTCTACCCACCGATTGTTTAGCTTCCAGGATTGTGCCATCTACCTTTTTGTAACCCATACACAACTGTTTTTCCTTACCCTTTTGTAACCCATACACAACCATTTTCCCTTCTAATATGTTGGAAAGCATCACAGGGACAGATCAGCTTTTTCTTTGGTTAGCTTCAAAAGCTCTTTCACTGTCAATGCTTGGAAACGAACCATATGATCCCTGTAAGAATCAGTTAGGTTTGGCTTTTTGTACGCACACTCTCTCGTATTCTGTGTGTCATGCACGTATTTTTTTGCAAATGGGTCATTCTGGGACACAACTGTAGTAACAGGCAACATCAACTGACAGTTTTTCATCCTGTAGGCAATGTGAGCAATGTGAGCAAATACAAACATTTAAAGTGGACATTTCTAATAGTTTAAAATATATATGAATTCTGATAATTATAAAATAAGTGGCTTTTTAATTGCTCAGACTCTTTAATTACAACTGATTCAGTGATTGTTCTCACTCATGTAGAACACATGGGAATTTAATGGCAGATGTGAAGTTAATTTTTATTCTTATGACATTTTTAGAACAGAATCTGAACCATACCTCCCTTTAGTTTTTGCTCAGTGTTCAATAAAAAGATGAATGTTTTTATGATGGACCGTGAGCTTGTTGAGTGTCCTGGTAAGCAGCAGCTGCAAAATCTGATGCAGTTTAGTGTGTGACAAAGCTGAATGTCACACGCTAATTCATTTGAATAGGAGCCAAGCTAATATTCCTTATTGGGGTAAAATGCCCACTAAAATGTTTTTATGGAATTAGGATGGCAGATTCATCATGGAAATTTGGGAACTCCCATTTTGAGTGCATTGAAAATGCATTGTTCAGATGAACAAGCTATTTATACAGACATGTGGTGTAATACTGGATACTCCTTTAATCTTTTAGTAATCCAGACATTGCCATATGGACAAACTGCACAGATTGATTTGAGGAGGTCTCACTGGATAAATGAATACCCTGCTTCAGTTAATTTGCTGAGCTTTTATTTTTAGTGTATCAGGAAAAAAAAAATGCTTTCCAGCACATAGTTTATTTGCAGTGACATATATAATGAGACTGATGACAATCAACACAGGTTTAAGGCAGCTTGTTTGACAAGCAGCTCATGATGGTTTGGACAGTTATATGGAGGGCTTTCTTTCAGAACTTCATTGCTTGTAGCCAATGCACGGACTTTCCAATGTGGAACCACCTTTGCACATACATATCAGAGAATGCACACAGTTTCCTCTACCGTTTTGCTTTTGGTGCATTAGTTTAGCTTAATGCTGTAATGGGTTATTTAGTTTTGTTATCAACCTCTGCTTTCTCAATCTTCTGTCCTGTGAGGAACTGCCATATTCCTCCTCTGTAGTTCTCATTCCCCAGGGCATATACAAAGGCATCCACCGTTGGCACAGTCTTGGCAATAACGGCAGGAATCTGTCATGAGACACAATCTTTATTAATAGGAAAATGCACCAAGGAGCCAATGGGCTGATTTCAGCCTAGGCTCAGTTTCCCTTTACCAAACAAATGCCTGTCTCCAATGGCAGTAGCTTGCTACCCCCAGAGAGATGACAGGTAAAACCAATTTGGTCTGTTGGAGGCCCTTGCTCAGGAAATTATAGTCTCCAGGAGAAAGAATTTAGATCAGCATTGCCTGAAACTGGGATATTTCAGTTGAGAGTGAATACAAACACTTAGGAGGAGTGAAGGATGTGCCGTGGACACCTTTTGATGGATAAGTGGGCTGATATTGCTAACACATTTTATGTGGGATACTGAATGCCTAAGTACAGTAATGCATTTGTTGACATGAAACTGGGCTGATTTTTGGGGACTGAATGAAAGTTGAAAGGTTTGATGTGATATTACTGAGTCACAGATGCAGTCTCAGAGCCAAGACTCATGGAAAAAAGGAGGCAGCATAACCTTAAGAGCGATCATTTGAAGCTTCCCTGAGGAGAGAGAAGTATTAGAAAAATGAATGAGACAAACCGTCTCTTCAAAATAAAAAATTTTGAGCTGTTACTTGACCCTGGGAAGGATGCAAAAAGCTCGTACAAACCATGAAGCAGTGCAGGCTACAGACCTCTGACTGCTGAAGAAAAAACCCCCTGACTTCCTAACTTGTTGCTTGATCAAAGCAGTAATACAATGCCTGTTATATCACTGTGCTCAGCTGTTTTGCCTTAAAAGTGGCAGATGAACAGAATGCTTGGAGGAAATGATCTGCTTATTATATATGTTCTAACAAGTAAACCCAATTGTGAGTAAATTGGCATTGTTCCATAGGAACAGAGAGAGGAGAGTAAGGAGAATGGCATAGACGTACCATGCGGTATTTTGGTGAAATGAACATCACATTTTCAACTGCTGCGTAGAAGCATAAAAGGCAATAGGGACCCCAGCAAATGACCAGCGTCTTCAATGGTAAACCAGTATTAAACTGAAAAACAAGAGCAATAAATTCCTTTGTGTTTCGCAACCACATGCTGCAACAAGCGGACGGGACAGATCCTGTGAGACCGTGGTTTGTGCTCAGTAGCAGAAGAGGATCAGCCAGCACGACATGCCGTATCATTGCTGCTTTGCTGTCGACGTCGGAGGTGTATGAGCATGGCTCCCTCCGTGTCAAGGGCTGCCTGTGCAGCAAGCCCCAAAGCCCTGTTCGGGGGGGCCGGCTGGGGAGTGGCAGTTGCTCCTGGGCAGAGGTGACAAAGCACCTTATGGTAGATCAGTTAAATCAGTGTGTGTGCTGGACATAGAAGCCATGGCCGGTAAGTGCTGCTGAGGGTGGGTGGGCAATGTGTAAATTTAAAAACAGATAAAAAGGAACGATATTTTGCTGACTTCTTAGAGGGTCTTGCAGGTAAATAAACTGTGTGAAGCCACTACTACAGTAGTGCAACAGAGGTATGCGGTGGCATCTGCGTTGTGGTAGTAGGATTCCTGTGTCCTTCATGCTAGGGCCTTATCCATGGTGTTCATGGCCAGCTGTTCCCAAGCATCTGATAAATATTAATGAATAGGGAAGTGATAATTTCATCCTTAAGTTTTCTGCCTCGTAACTAGTGTGCACAGCTACAGAATATTGGAAGAAAGAAATCACATGCTGTTGCATAAACTCACTGAAAAACAAAGGTAATAGACTTGTAATAATGAACACTGAGATTTGTTCAAGAAATATGTAGAGGGCACATGTACATATTCCAGACAGCTACAAACCAGTCTGCCTGTCTGTGTCTTTGCTGGTATAACATCCCCCTTGAGAACTGACTGTCTTTACTGAGTGCAGGGGTCAGGCTGCTCCCGCCAGCCACGCATAGTGTCCCAGACTGTATATCCTGCACCTAACAACTCATATAATCACCACATTACATTCCCATAAACCTGCCACACCAGAGCAATTCCTTTGTTTCCAGCTCATAAAGATTTCTGAATTTCCTCAGCCAAGTGTAAACACGGCGTGTTTAGGAAGGCCCTTCTCCCCCCACGGGGTGCCTGCGTGTTTCCTTGTAGTGCTGCAGTTCTGGCCGACTTCCTCAGCGATAAGCTAAGAGCCTGTAGCAAAGCAGGAAATAATGATCCTTCCTGGGCAAAGTTTCTCTGGATAAACATTGATATGCTATTAGCAAATATCCTGCATGCTGCGTGTTTGTTTTGTGAGTAGAGCTGGACCAGTGTTGGTGGAGGGGAATCCTCAGGGTCACTAGTCAGACCCCTGCTTTGACGGGGAACTGTTTACAGCACTAGGTTGGGGCAGATGTGGCTGCCTGGTCAAATCTTGAAATCTCTAAGGATGGAGTTTCCACAAACTTTCTGGGTGGCCCCATCCTGTGTTGCGCTAGCCTCCTACTCGAGTAGCACTGGGGAGCTAGCACAGAAGGAGCTGAGCCAAAGCCTCTATGAAAGAAACTGGCTTTTTGAGGACTTTGTCTCTATTGGATGGAGCCCTGTTTTGGCAAGGCAGTTGCAGGGGCTGAGGAAACTTTCTTACCTTATAGTGCCCACTTTTCTTGAATTTCTGGTATATGGACTGATAGGCCGTCAGCATGATGAAGCCCGGGATCATGAAATTGAAAATGGACAGAGCAAAAAGGAACGTGATATAGTTTCTGGAAAGGGTGAGGAAGGAAAAAAAATAAGAGGTTGTTAATACCTCTTTAGGGCATCTTTGTAAAGTTGCTGTAAATATTCATTAACTTATATTTTCAAAATTGCCCAAAGCAGTTTTGTCAACATGCTTTAGGTGCAGCATTTGCTGAAGGCCAGTTAAGTTGTGCCATGCTGTTGTGCGCAGGATGGATAGCATTGCAGAAAATCACAACAGGTGTTTGGTTTCTAAACCCAAGCATCCCTACTCAGACATCAGTGCTGGAGCGCATAAAAACAAAAAACCATTCTTAAAGAGTTTCAAGTCCTAAACCCAGAACAGATGCAGCTCATAGATGACCAAGGAGTAAGGGAGTAGCAGAAACCTGAGCGCCAGCCTCTCCCACGAAGGAAGCTGACTTTAGCTGTTCCCACATGCCGCCGTGTGAGTCAAGGCAGCCTCAGGTGGTGCCTGCCTTGCCCCAGCCGCTGGGGAGGGAGATCTGCCCCAGCAGCAGTGATGGGGACAGCTGTGGGTTTCAGTGTGCTGCCGAGGCCACCTCAGGGGATGGCAGCCTCCACCCGCCCTCCCGTGGGAGCTGGCCCTGGCCCTCACCTGTCCCCTTTGCTGTAGTCCAGGGTGCAGCAGGTTCGGAGGGGTTCGTAGTCGTATTCCCCCCACCCCAGCAACGGCATCACAGACCAAAAGGCAGCAAACAGCCACGCGAACACCATCATGGAGATGGCCGAGCTCCACTGCAGCTTGCTCCCTGCGGGAAGAGAAAAGCGGGTCTCCGTGCCCAGAATGAAAGCACAGGGCAAAGCTGTTGGGCTCTGTGGGGCCAGAGCCAAGTGCCCTGGCCCCTGGGCCTCGGGCAGAAACAAGCAGTTGTGTCTGTGTTTTGTAGCCTGAGGCTGACCTGAGTCTGGAGGAATCAACCTTGCATTAAATTTGAGGGAAGCTTTTAGAATTTAGGAAACAGCAAATTGTAGTTCCCTTTTGTGTGCTTTACTTAGACAAATGCTATATGGCTGCTCAGCTTTGTACCACACTGGAGGTACAGCTGCTGTTACAAACATTATATTCTTGTGTTTTGGGAACATGTTTAACGACTCAGATGAGGCAGAGAGTAGAAGGCACAGGGCGATGCAATAAATAGTGTTTGAAGAACTGGAGTCCTGCTGCAGGGTGTGAGTCAGATCAGAAATGTGACTGCACGCAGTCCCCAGCCCCTGCCTGCTTCCTTCCCACCCTTCCAGGCATGCGGGGCACACGTGGGTATTAAATATACCCTGTTCTAAAAACGCTGCTCATCAATATATATGTGAATATATATACACAACCTGACAACAGATCTTGTGCTAAAAATACTGCTGGTCAAATTACTTTGCCCTTAAGATCATTGCTTAGCCTGGAACAGGAAATATGAAGCTCAGCATTAGTAATTTTTTTCTAATTTTATAATAAAAATGATCACTTGTGCCTATCTCATTCAGTTCCATAAAATACCATAGGAACAGGTCAATGAATGAAATGAAAGATTGGAAACTTCAGAAAACACAGCAAGTATTTATTTCTTCATGGAGAAGGCAGGCAGGCTTCCCTGCTGCTGCAGCACATTGTGTTAGCCCCGCTGCTTGCGTGTAAAAAGGCCTGGATAATTTTGTTATCGAGGCTAACGTCCGTAATCATGCCCATGCTGAATAGCCCATGACGCCAGCTGCACCAGCAAGGAGCACAGTGACTTTGCCCACTACTCCTTTCTAATCAAATCTCCCATTAGAGAGAAGTAATGATGTAATTTTCACTGTGGTTGGGAAGCAATCTTTTTGTCCGCCCTTAGCAGCAGCAGCATGACAACAGGCCAGGAAGATTCTGACCTTTCTCAGAAAGATGAAGTTGAGATGCATCAGGTGCATGAGCTGAGGCCCCGCCATGGGATCAGACGTGCCTGATTTGTGGGTGGGGAGCATGTGGGGGCCGCACAGGCTGGAGATCCCCGTAAGGCAGCAGCCCTGGGAAGGACCACAAACTCTGCGGTTGCTATTTGGTGTTGTACTGTCCCCATCTATTTTAAAGAAGGATAATAAAGTAGGTGTGTTAGTGAAATTGCCCTTTTGCAGGAATGTTTTTTTTAGGAATGCTGATTCTACCTCTGTCCTTTTTCTTATCTTCCAGAGGTTCTTCAGGGAAAAGAATTAGAGTTTGAGTTGCATTAAAAATCAACTTGGAAAAATTGTTTGGTGCAGGTGTTCAAAAATTAGTTACGGGAAAAGACAGGTGTACACATTGCAATTTAAATACCAAGGAAAAAGTAAAAAAAATCCTTTTTATTAAATATTCTATGCTTTAATATGGTAGTTACCAAAAAATCTATTGATTTTTTAAGTCATTTTAAACATTTTTTAATAATTACTAATGAAGAATGATTAATAATGACTAATATCTGTCTTTTGTATGATTCCTACATAGAAGATACACTTTGGCTGCAAAGGCTCAAATATTGCTTTGTAGTACTGATATAATATGACTTGAGAATGACATAGATGAAAATAAAGGAATAGTTTCTGTTTTAGGGGCTAGAAATATGAGTCAAACTTTTTATTTAACTTGTAATTATTCTTAACCTCCCAGTCCAAAGAAGCAATGTAGCCTAAGTTGTATCTTTCAGAACGGCAATCTATTTAGGTATATGCTCAAACACGCATGTTAGAGCTGTTACTCATCCAAGGTTTCCATTTGTGTTCTACACAGCCGTTCTCGTAGCTTGGCTTTACACAACCGTAACTTGAAAATCAATCAGGACAAAGCTTATTACACAAACGGTCAGGTTTCTTTTGTGTTTTAGATATTCTAGCAACTTTTTAAAGGCATTATCAAAGGCAGCTGCAGTGAAACCTGGATCTGAATCGTGTTTCTTTTAAACCAAGCTCATGCAAAAAGTAGCTTTATTGCTTTGGGAATACAATTTTGTAAGTGGTAAGCCCTTCTGATATTCTGAGAAAACAAACTACGTCTTGGGTTTTTTTTTGTTTCTCAGCAAGTCCTACAAAACAGTTAATACCAATTATTTTTTGTGGTATCCTGTGGCAGAAACTTTGCTCTCTTTCCACCCCATTCTTTCACTTCATGGACTACTGCAATATCTTGCAGGTCTCAAAACACGATGGGCCATGACTGAGGCACTCTAGTGTCACTGGTTCCTAGCCACACACTGGCACCTTATGGATCTTTGCATGTAAGGACAAGAAACTTGCATTGACAAAATTTGCCCTCACCTGCTGGGACAGTGTTGGCAGCATGCTGAAGGCAGCCCATGGGTGCCTGCATTGACAGAGGGCGGCTGATCCAGCTGCCTGCATGCGTCTGGGGGAGGGTGTCATGGAAATCTCACCTTCCCTGCTGTCGCCTTGCACAGAAAAGCAGGGGAAGCTCTTGCTCCACTGGCTCCCACCACCTCCAGGGTCTTTCACAGTGCCCAGTTTCTTGGTGCTACGTCTTTCCTCCGGCCCCGTGTGCTACCAGCTGGGGTGCGTGCAGGCAACAGGAAAGTCATCAGGCCTCCTTGGCTTTCAAATATTTTATTTCAAAAGTGGCTTTAATGAAGATTTCTATGCTTAATTTTTTAACAGGAAAAGTGCAGCCTATAGGACACTCTAGGGGAAAACTCCCCATGCTTTTGGCTGACAGTGCCCTGCCTTGGTTCCCCCTCTGCTGCAGCTTGGAAAGCCCATGGGCCTGGCAGGACCATGGGGAGCACAGCGACACGACACTTCTCAATTTCCATTAGCTTTCTTTTTTTTTCCTTTATTTTTCTAATTTTTTGCTTTAATGTTTGTGCCTCTTCTATGAAAAACTGTAAGAAAAAGTTTATTTTAGTTACTTTTCCATGGGTATTAGGGAACCCCATTTTCTTATTAGATGTAGCATAAAAAGACCATGCAATAATGGAGTCTGGCACCAGGCATATCTCGACAGCCTGCATTTGGAAACGTCATTTCTGGGGCTGAGTTCATATGTTCTTTCTCCTCACATTTAAGGAGTCCCATTTTGGACACTGGAAAAGGAGAGAATCAGAGCTTACAAAATTAAATTTTTCCTTCTGGATTTGGTCTTTTGCAAAATGAGAATAATGTTGAAATAGTTCTAGTGAAATCAGCTGGCTGTTGACCCTCCAGAAAACATTTAATGACACATCAGAAGTAGCTAAAAATGTACAAACGTAAAATTAAACAAACTTGATATTATTTTAGTTTTACGCAGAAAAAGTACTTTCAGTACAAGGACAGTGAAAGAATCGTGCTCCGTTCACATGGCAAAAATGTCCTTCTCTGAGAAGGCCGACAGCAAGAGAGCAAGTCGAGAGCAGTTCAGTTGTTTTTGTGCAGAGCAGGCCATTGCTTTACCTTAAATGCCTTTTTTGGCCAGATAAAATTTAATGTAATAGCCATGTAGGTCCTAATTCAGTTAACTGTGTATGTATGGAGCTCAGCATACGCTTAAGGATATAATTCCTAATTAGTGCTGGCAATTTGGTCCTATTAAGTCTAATCACTCTCGTGCTCTGGCTTTCTCTCCTTGAAAAGCAAGAGGGAAGCTTCTCTTTTCCATACAGTGAAATATTAATACAGGGGATTTTAAATGGCTTCTGTGATTGCTTTGGAACAGAAGGAGGTCACTCTTATAAACAAAAAAACCCCATCGTTTAAAGATTACTAAAATCGTGATGTCAAAAGCTTAAATTTTAGGAAGTATTAGATGGAGCACGGAACAATCCTTTTGATTATGCTGGCCAGTTTTTAGTGACATAATCATAAACTATTTCTTTATCTTTAGTCTGTGGGCTGTGGGGACATGTACGAATTTAGATTTTTTGAAGATTTATAAATTGTTCAAACATTTAGCTGATTTTCACAGAAAGACCAAAAAATACATCTCTGACATAGTGGCTACCTTTTAACTAAATTTCAGGCTGGTGTTCAAAAGGAATTTCTCAAACAAAAGGTCAACAGAATTTTCTATGATGGAGGGAAAAAAAGTCCCTTTTCCTCATTCTTGCAAATGGTTAAGTTATAATAGCTGATATACTCTGGAACAGTATGGCTTGTACCAGACTTCATGGCATGCATCACTTAAAACTGGCAAAGTTTGTCAAAGACAAAAATATCTCAAAGTCTTATAAGGGAAAATATGTATCAGTCATAAGTAAACAGGTGTTGGTACCTACTTCACCTGCAGTGCGAAAATCACCAGTCACTGGTGCTCACAAGTATTCATTTTTTGTAGGAATAAGAAAGCTGCACTGTGTAATAGCTTCTTTTGTGCTTATCATTAGAAAAAGCTCTTTAAAATAACGTAATAAAGGGATTTTTTTACTTCATTAATTTTTTGCTGTGATTCTCCATGGTCATAAAGCTGTCTTGGCAATTCAGTGAAAGTGCAAGATCTGTATAAACATTGGCATTTTGTCAGGGAAAACTGATGCAGGTGCAAGACTAGATGAAGGAAGTGTGGCAGGGTGGCTGCAGTAAGTGTGACAGGAGGTAAGGACATGCTCCTAATTTGACAGAGCTGACAGCTGCAATTGGAGCAAATGGTAGTTTGCTAATCTTTGAATACTGATATAACAACCTAGATTTCCTTGAATGTTAAGGATTAGATAAAACTCACGGCAATTCTACTTCTTGAAATTGAATGCTGCTGCAAAATCCCTGCTGTTCGTCTTTTTTCTCATAACGTTCAGAAAAGTACGGACACAAATTACTTTAGATTTTCCATTTCCCCCTAATTCTTAAATGCAAGTGTAAAATCTTCTAGTTTTTTTCTTACGAAAGGAAAAAAAATGACCAGGATCCTTCCCCTCTCCATAACCAGCTGACAGCAGCGTGCTACCCTCTCCACAATGAACTGTGTGTTAGATCAAAATGCCATCAGCAAAGACATCTCCGTGGTAGGTGGCTGCCTGCTTTCAGATCGCTGACCCCCTGGGCTGTCCACCAGCTGCCCTCTGCCTGCCTGATCCCAGCTTCAGTGAGACCTCCCAGGCTGCTGCTTCCTTCCTCCCTTGCTATGTTAAGAACTTAATTCAGGACATTTTCCTCATTTGAATGGCCAGGGAGGGAGAACTAACAATGTCTACCTGGACATAAAATGTCATCTTCTGTCCTGAATCCTTGACTATTGATAGACCTCAGAGTTTGCCCTTTCCTCCTTCACCGTCAGGCACTAACAGAAAACTGCTTCTGTTTTCTCCTTTTCCCCCTAATGATCAAATTTTGAAATACAATAATCAGTTTTCCCATCTTGCTAGGGATTGACATTCAAACCCTTCAGACTCCCCTGCCTTTTCTCCTCTTATTGCATGCTTTTCGACTACAGATTTCTGTAGTTCTCTCCTCCCTGCTGTGAAAGTTGCATCTCATAGACCCCAAAGCCACATGAGGGGATGAAAAGGGAGTTGCCCAGCATGGTTGCCTGGGAGGAAGAAAGCAAGAGGAGGAAGAGTAAAATGTCTTGAAACTCTAGCTTCTCTGTCTTGTGTGGCGGTCATACTATTTTCTTCCATATGCTAATGAATACCAACCTGTTTTCTGATGAGTGACATGTCTAGTTGTTAATACACTTTAAAGGCTAGCACTTTGTCACTGAGGCTTGTATTGACTTCCAAATTTAAAAACTTGGTTAATTTTCAGGATGCTGGTGAACATATTTGTGTTATTAGCATCCAGAATGGCTGAAAAGTCCCATTTTCTCTCATCACCATAGTAATCTCTCACATTCTTGTCAGCTTTTTCTTCCTCAGAAATATGGATAGTGGATAATCAAGTGTCAAGCTGAGGAATGCCACAACAAAGGTTTTCTCGGAAACTGTTAGGACATAACAAAAACATTGGGGATGTAATTGAGTCTGGAAGGAGTACCAGTTCCCGGGGAATGAAGATAAAAGGTTGATAGCTTTGTTTTTTAGGCAAAGGTATTTTGTACCTTCTGTACTGGCATGCAACTCACACCAGTGTCAACAGGAGTTTAATGTATGGATTGAGAACACAGTATAGCCTGTAGGCTTGGTATATCAGATCTATGAAATACAACTTAATCTTCCTCGCAATTGGCATGTGAAGGATGAAACTCGAAGTGGCTCCTTTTACTGGAACAGCCACAGAGCACGAGCTTTTAAAACCTTCTGGGTTTTTGTTTTTGTTTTGTTGTTCAAAATCTTCAGTAATAGCAGCAATGTTTGGCCATCAGTAAGTAACAATTTGAGCAAAGTAAAGAAGCTTGTGCCCTTAGGGTCTCTCTGCCTGTGCTCTTAATGTAGTATGCTCTTGTCTGGAGGAGTGCATGACACGAAAGCATTAAAGTCAATGTTGCAGAGAGTAAAACGTCTTTCCAAAGACATGCTTATTTTCAGGCTGTCTCTCTTGTAAAATACAGATGCTACTCTTCTAGCTCCAAACACATTTCAGTGTCGAAAGGGTGTTGGTATGGGTTTAGCTTACAGCCTGCATTATTTGGGGCCTTTGTCTGGACATGAAAAAAACCCCCACATTTCCTTGCCTGAGCTGAATTCTTGACAAAAGTTACAGAACAAAAAGCTGGCAACCTTTCCACCCTCAATGGGATCATCAGCTTGAACATGTTCGCTGTGTGCTCTGGGTGTGTTTTACCACTTGCTGCTTTAATCATACAGAGGCCATGCCTGAAAGGCTGTGTGGAGGCTAACGGCGGAGGGGATTGAAGCGCTGCAGCTCAGCAGTTTCTTCCCCAGCCAACTTTTATACTTTAATTTAGAAAATAGTTTGTGAAGTGGTCTAAGCAACCTGTGCTTTAGCACAAGAAAAGGAAGGCTGCATTTGTCCATCAACATTGCCAAACGGACACAATTTTTTGGGAACGGTGCGGTCATGTGGGTGTTCTGGACTCCTCACTCCTCTGGAAAGGGCCAGGCTTTAGCAGGAAACATGAAAGCTGCAGATCTGTATGGGAGGACCTCATCCATTTCTCCGAGGTGACAGAGCTCCCACACGACTGCCAAAATGGCCAAATAGTGCAGATTAGGGCATTCCTAGCATTACGCAGTGCTAAGATGTCCTTTCAGAATAAGTTTGTGTTTCCTATCATGTCTCTTTCC